AAATCTAAAAGATACCCTTGATAGTCTCTTCTAAGGTAAGGACAGCTTCCAGAGAGATAAAACTAGCTTTTTAAAACTTTTTATTTTATATTAACTTATTACGGTCTTTAGCATTTCCTGTTGAAGCTCAAACTCACAGACAAACCTGAAACACTTAATTCAGATTAAGGAATGTATTGGTTAAATTAATCTTCCTATTTAGAGATTTATTTTTATACATAGGAGAGGAGGATGCAACATCTTGCTAGAGGAGCTGAAGCACATATAGATCCTATTGGAAGGAAGCCCAGCCTAGATACAGAAGTTCTAGATAACCTACTACAAAATGAAGAAAAGTAAAAAAGAAATAAGCATAAACACTTGTTTACATGTCTTGAAGCTGCATGAGCAGGAGGACATGTGAAGCTCGAACTTCTATTTGACCATACAGCTTCTGCTACTTTAACAGTGTCACACTGATTTTTCTCAGGAGACACAAGACGCCTATATGCATCTTTATTTAATTATAAAATTAATCTGTGTTGTGGTTTGGAGCCAGGCGGGAGCTGGGTACCACGTGGCCACTCGCTCACCCCCTCCACCCCTCAAACAGGAAGGAAAAAAGGGAAAAAATACAAAACCCTGTGGGTTGAGATAAAGAGAATTTAATACAACAACGCGAAAGGAGCAGTGAGGAACAGCAATAACAATAACAGTAACAAAATAGGATATAAAGCTAGCAATACAAAGCGCCCCTGTTAGCTCTCAAGGGCAAGAGAGGCTGTCAGCCATGACCTCAGATCAGTGTGGCATCAAAAAACCTATGGGCTGGTTGGGTTGTCTACCCCAGCTGTAGTTCCCTCACAGCTTCAGGTGAAAATTAACCCTATCCTAGCCAAAGCTGGACAATCTATCAGCAAGCTACACCTTCAGTCATATCCAGCATTGTATATTAGCTCACGACACCTATCAGTAATGGGAATTTGACAGAGCCAAGCAAGCCTCAGGAATCTGATCCTAGTTACACATGGTCAGTGGCCAATTCATTAGTGCAAACAGGCAAAGAAAACAACCACAAAGCATAAATATGTTATATTTAATTTAAAAAACAAACAAACAAACAAACAAAAAACCCCCACACAGATCTGATGGCACAGCTCAAATTAAAACTCCCACAACTGCATCATTACTTTTATGTACTCTAGGTGGTCCTGCTCTGGCAGGGGGGGTGGACTAGATGATCTTTCGAGGTCCCTTCCAACCCCTATGATTCTATGATTCTTCCCCTAGGATAATCTGCTTCTGTTATTTTTGGAACAAAGAAAAGCAAAGGAATGAATTCTGCACGTCAATAAAATCAATGGGGTTTCATGCAATTCCTCAGTTTTGCCTTTATTTAGAGAATTTACTGATCACCTTAATAGACAAGTGCCACTATATCCTGTGTTATTGACACTAGGCTAACACATGGAGCACATAAAACTGCCTGGGGATTTTCAAAAGAGCGTGATGTATCTGCTTCTGCTCAACTGGCAGCAATCCTTTCTGCCCTCATACTCCTGCCAATATTTGTGTAAAAGCCTTCTTAAATTAACAACACAATAATTCATATTCCTCTGCATGAAATATGATCTAAACTCATGATTCATAAAATTGAAAACACATTAGGAACACAAAGTGATAATGCCAAGAAAAACGAGACCCTGTTGATTCCTCTGTAAACGGGACTGACATTTTCCATAGGAATTATCTTGTTCTAAATAATCCCATATTACAAAATTCTCTCAGTAGTTTACTGATGCTTTAAAAAAAAAAAATATCAGCAATCGTTAGGAAGCATTTTAAATAAAAAAAGTAACAGCAACATTACAGTAATATATAATTTTTCTCATCAAGAACTGCATCAAGATGCAACAGAAAGAGTTTTATGGTCTCCAAACTTCAGAACGAGGTTGGTGTTTTTTTTAAAAACAAAAAAAAAAAAAAAAAAAAGGATTTGAGGAAAGTGTTGTTTCTGCTTCTTCAAAAGATTACAAATTATTAAAAAAACGAGGATTCTTGTAAATGTGTAAGGCACATACTAGGGCAAAGATCCCTTTAAACCCCACATTGTTAGAGCAAAGTCTGTACCAGTTTGGCACTCTGCATCGTACATTACAACACTTTTGATCCAGAATGCAGAACTCTCAAGCTAAATATGACCTTGCTTGGAATGACAAACGTAACACAGGATTTTCTCTCTCAGTCAGCATTAAACGGCAAATATGACTGAGATGAGGTGGGAGGAATGTCTTGCAGCCAGAAGAGAAATACTTGGGAGGTTAATGTTTTGTAATTGTAACCTAATGCTGTGTCAGTGACTTATGTTTTGGTGCAAACATAGTAGGCAAAGACCACAGTGCCAAAGCCTTTGAATGGCACTGCTCAAAGGTTAACCACTCTGACCCTACACAGGAAAAAAGCAACCACAGCAAAGAAGTGTTGCTTTTAGTTATCTACACACTTGAAACACAAATAATGGTCTCTGTTCCAAAAAATGAAGCCATTATTTTTCACTAACCATGCGAACTTTAAAAGAAATCTGAAGACACATGAAGGATAGTCAGTGGGTAGGGTGGAAAATTTTAGGAATTTTCTGAAAATTCCGTATTTAATTTTTGGCTGGGTAACAAACCTGTTGACTAATGCTGCACAAATATCTGTGCTTTGTGAAATACAAAGGGAATATTTCTCATTATCACAAAGTGGAGTAAGATTTCCCTTCATGGAATGAAGGATACTTCACAAACAGTTTGTGAACAGTTCACATTAAAACAAGGGACTCCAGAGTTCAGAGGATTCATAATTTATTTTAATCAGTTCACATTTACAATCACTGCTCTAAATATAGCTACAATTATAGTAAACCGCAGACACAAGAAATCACAAGAAATTCTTCATGTGGCATTAACAGGGCATTATGATCTGTAAACCCTAATCTGCCAGTATCGGACTCTGGAGAACTGAATTTTGTGAATTCTGGTCAGTGCCTACATATGCATTACTCTTACAAGTGAATGCTCATGTCATGCATCAATTATAAGCACTATTATAACCTTAATTATAATGGTGTGTTTATCTTCCTGCACCATGTATTTCCTTTACACACCTAGAAGTGGGAGTAACTTAAAGCTCACCTCCTGTAGAAATGCATTAATAAAATCCACATTTCCTAATGCTACAGGAATTGTTATGTCTTGAGTCAAAAAAAAAAAAAGGTTGAAGTAATGCCATGCACAAGTTTAACCCTGCCTGCCATCAGTTGCTTCCAACACGCAAACCAATTTTCCTCACACTGGTCTTTTAAGGAACGATTTGGACTTGTAAGTAAGACTGCAGGTAGCTATCAAATTATAAAAACAAATGTCCTCCAAAATGGGTTTTAAAAAACCCAAGAAACTTTTTATTAAGCAAATTCATGCTCTGGTAAAATTCTTTTTCAGTGCACTTACAAAGCTTTCATAAAGCCTAATTGCACCTTAAACAGAAAGACACTATGAAAGCTCGCAAAAAGCACTATGAAAGCACGCAGAGCTGACTTGAATCTGGCAGGAAGAAGGCTCATTAGCTATCACTCAGTGAACACCACCAGGATTGACCTGTCCTTGTCTTGTATCCAAGGGGGCCGACTTTTATGAAGTATCTAGGTTTTTCCTTCACTTAGATTATCCCAGTCCTTCAATACCCTCCTTACCCAGAATGCAAATTGCAGTTTCCTGTAAAATATGAACCAAATCTCCCTCAGCATAATTTAAGAAGTTTCCACCATGACCCTGCAGGATCCTCCCTTCTCCTGTACCACCGTAACTCAGGGTGGATGTGGGGGTAGGTGCTGGGCTATAAATCAGGTCACTGAAGTGATCTAGGTTATAAACCAAAAGCCTTCTGGGCCAACAGATACAATTCCTGCAGTGTCTGGTTCTACAGACAGTTTGAAAAGCACATCCAAAAAGGTGAGAAGCTGTCACAGCAGAGAAGAAAAGCAGCTTCCCAGGAGTTTCCTTAAAATCACACTGCAGCCAAAGAAAATGCGTCGGATAAGTATGCCCATAGCAGAACTCCACGCTGCGGAAGCCTCCTAACACTCCTCAGTGTACCAGTAATTCTATGCAAATCTAACTGTTCCCCTAAAGGAAGGATTTCACAAATTTTTCTTTAGTTGTTACTTCATTAGGAAACAGTTCACTTTTTTGTCTTTGTTTATTTCCCTAATGAACACACATTAGAGAGATCAATCCCTTTTCTTTTTTTTTTTTTTTTTGTAAAAAAATGTTGCCTCCTCCAGTTCATTAGAAACATCTCATTTTGCTTTCTGGTCTCTATTTCTAATTTACTTATTGATAGTTTAAGAGGCTTTGGAACAAAGAGCCCTCTTTAAAAAGATGGTCTGTCAATTTGTCAGAGAGTAAACTTTTTCCCCAGGTGTTAATCTCAGGACTGTTTTTTCGCGATACATAGAACAAACCTATAAGAAATACGCCTTCTCTTCTGCTAATCCCTTTAAACAAAGCTAGGTGATGTTTGAAAGCATCCCTTAAATCACCAAAGCCAGTACTAAGTTGAGATATTTAGATATTTGCCAAAGATTCATTTTCTTTTAAGCAAACTGTGACACTACCTGCCTCTTATGTGAGTAACTGAAAACCTGAAAAGCCTCTGCAGTCTTTTTCTCTGAAGCAGTATTTTCTTAGGGGGAAAAAAACCAAACCAAAACAAAACAAAAAGGCCAATTAAGCAGACAGAGGTATGAACAGAGGAGTAAATCTTTAATCAAAGTAACAGTTTTTGCAGGCAGCTAACCTCACTAGAATTCATTTTCCGGTGTGCAGCGAAAGCAAAAAAAAAAAAAAAAGCAGAAACTTGCCAACAGAAAGATTAGGAATGAATTACCATAAAGCTTGAAGGTTTGGTCAGTGAACAGGACTTTATGACAAAAACGTCTTTAAACCAACACCAAGAGAGAATTAAGAGATGGCACATACCTTATCTACTGCGAGAAAGTCATTTTCAACTTCTATTGACCTGGGTCGTAGTTTTATAGGTTTGTCTTTGAAGATATCGCCAAAGCCAACACCCTTGACCTTTTTGGGTTGGATTGTCGTGCCTCCATTGGCTCCTTCTGATTTTGTGCTGCAAGAGTCGCCACCATCACTCTCAGAGCCTGTAGCATCTTTTAGGCCTGTGAAATGGAGAAATGAAAGAAGAAATCTTAGGTTTGAACTCGCTATTTTCAAAACAGATTGTGACTGGAAAATGACCCCTCCCACCACCCTCTAAAGGAAAATGAAACCACAGGAAATAGGTAGAGAAGATGCTCTCTGTGCCATGCACTCATTTTTGAGTTTTAAAAATCACTTTATTTCATCACATTGGTGTGCCAGTTAGAACTTACACCAGTCCACAAAACACGCATATAACTTCATGAATGAAGCATCATAACTTCATGAATGAAGGCAGCCATTCCTTGAGTACCAAGAAAAACCTTCTTCTTCAGACAACAATTATTTGGAAGAGAACTCAATAAATGAAAGAGTTAAAATCAGTTGTATGGCAGCTATTGTACAAAAGCCACTTAAAGCTAACAAGCAGTCGGACCAGGCGCGCTGTACTTTAAATCTGTGTGACTCATATCAAGCCAATTATGCAATTAGTATCTAAAGCTACATTACCTAACTGGGAAATATAAAGCTGAAAGCTGTTCAAACAAATTTGCAATCAAGTAAGCTGCATTATATGTTCCCTGCTGAAAATTAAATCTCTCTGCAGCATAGACAGCCTCATACAAAAAGCACCCATGCACACTATCCTCTAGGAATATAATAAATCAAAACTGACATTCTGATTTTCATTACTTCCCTCAGTGAATATGAAAATTTATCTGCACTTATCTGAAAATGTCTGCTGTTTCAACAGCACAAGGCACAGATGCAATACAGTGATGCTTCATTCACTTTTCAGAACAGTGCAGAAACAGCCCAAACAGTCACTGTCAGCAGAAGTGACCCACTGAAGTTTTCTCCAACCAAAACAGTGCCCGGGATCATGTAGATCTTCCTTCCTACATTACAGATTGACTTAACTCTGTTTCCAGGAAAAAACACAGCAATTGCTGCTACTACAGTGCTAATTCTGCCTCATGATAACAATCTCAAATCCTCACATTCCCCACATAAGCATTCGTGGTGCCACAGATGCGGTTCTTACAAGCCAAAGAAAGAAAAATTTCAAGTAAGCTCATCTTTGTAATTATTTTTACATCAAGTTCCACAAAGTGACTGCAATGGATTTTCATTGTAAGAGGCTGCCAGTACACAGGAAAGATTCTTCTTTAAAATCTAGACACCTAAAATCAAGTAATGATTATATACAAATCT